AGCTTTAGCTATGGCATTGGAGAAATGCCCAGCAGAATACAGTATCCTTGAACCACGCTTACTTTCGACTTATGTTAGTACTAATCCTTCCAAGCAGAGGCATAGATACACCATACTTTCTAATGTTGTAGAATCTCCCTTATGAGCAGACTCATGCGCAAGAATTTGGAGGTACTCTGATCAATTCTCAGTACCCAAGAACAGCAAATGTTCTGCTCATGCTCACTGAGCATGCTGAGATTTGTTGAGCCTAGTTTGGCTCAAGATAGAGATCATATTCCTATCACATGGTGCGCACACGTTCCTGACAATAACAGCAATATATACCTCAATTACGGTAGAGATATGTCTACTTATACTACTTACAGGACCAGGAGGAGGAGCGGTCAATGGGCGCCTAAACACGGGCGTTCGAATACTTTCCGCAACCACGAGTACATCACATACAATGAACCCACCAATACCACCATGGAGATGAACGTTAGCGATGGCACGTTCAAGGTCAAGGCAGCGCCCGTGAGCAGCTTGGTTCATTGAGGTGATATATATAATATTGCGCTACCCAGGGAATCGTGATCAGTATGAGATTTCATTCTAGGTGCAACATTAGCATTCCGACTCGCATTTCACTTCTACCGAGTACAGACAAGATGTCTCTATGCCTGCCTTTGAGTCATTAGGCATGCGAAAACTGTCCAGGAAAATCGACGGGGTCATCGCCTCAGGAGCGATTCAAAGCGGGATTATCGAGGAGGCCGTTGGACTGGAGACGTTCGTTGACCTGTGCCGACGACATAGATCAGATCGGGTAGAAGCAAGAGCCTATGCGACTGTCACCATATGAGAAACACGAGTCTTTACGCAAGGACAAAAGGAGAGAGGGGGCATGCACCTCTGAATCTGGTCGAGCCCCCTTGGGGGAAGCTCCGGCCATCGGTCGCAGTGTGCTCTCCTGCAGACCACTTGCGGTCCCAAGGTGTGCGCACATCGGGCCACGATGCACATTGATCTTCGGCTTTCTGTTCAGCTGAGAGAGGACCAGTCCCCACTCCGGCGTCTTGCAGGGCTTCTCCGTGATGAAGCGTGCCAGTTTGCGCGCAAACGACAAGCTCATGGAAATTGTAGACGGCGCTGTCTCCAAGGTTACCCGCAGTCGCATCGTGGTTGATGTGATAATTGCGGTAGCGCTGCATGTACATACATGTAAGATTGGCTGCCCGCACAACCTACTACATCATGTGCTCAGAACTGTCACGCTTGACCTGCTTTGGCAGGGAGAAATGTTTGCAAAACTATAGGCTCAAGAGTGAGGGCCTTCCTTACATATCCGAAACCAGAGAACTGTACCTATGTAGTGTCTCTAGAGTTCTCAGGTTTCCGAATTTCCGATTTGCCTTCCTGAACAAAGTAGATAGACATGCATTGTTCGCGATCTCTCGGGCGCTTAAGACATGTCTGAATTGGGTACTGTCCAAGAAAGGCGAAATATCATTCCCACTGGCAGGGAACATACGGCCTTGCCTCGCAACATGCCCAAACGAAAGCTACACCAGAGTAACTCAATCACAAATCTAGGGGCACATGCACAGAAGAAACCAAGGGAACAATCACTGCGGGCCAGACGGAGCCGAGTAGCAAAGAACAAGGAGAACGTGCCGCTGGCGACACCAGAGGTGCGTTTGCCCAACTGGGTGATGTGCGCAAGCTTCCTAACAGAATGAAAAATAGGTCCATTGCCCCAGGCATCCAGGAAGTCTGATCGAAACCCTTGACAGGCGGAGAGAACTGTTGAACAGGCGCTGGTTTACACAGCTTGCCTAACACAGCCGTCACAAGATATGGAACGGCACAGCCGGTTACTGCAATAACCGAGGCTGTACTACTCATGTGGTACACACACAGCTTCGCTGTGTACGCACTGCTTCTCTGTGCGACTGTGCATCCTGGGAATGTACTGTATAGTACTACGTAGCCACAGATGTACAGTAGTATATATAGGGGACCTCTGTACCCCCAATCTACAGTTCAGTTCACTCGAACATCTCCTCTCATCGCTCTAACAAGCCTCTTACAACCAACAACCCTTCTAGGTGAGTTGCAGGCTATCCGCTGTCGTTGCCACCCGTGGGAGAGGCCTTTGCCCCCGGGTTCAACAGGTTATGAGCCCTGCTCGACGCTGCAGAATCTGCGCCGCTCACTGCGTGCTGCGATCTGTAAGCTCGCAGCTC